CTGGGACGTATATATATATATATATATACGCATGTCCATATGTGTATAGTCACAGAGATATGTGTCTATATATGCATATGTATGCTTATGTAAATACTGAATACGTCTTTCTTACTCCTGTTTGTCAAGTTGATGGAGAAAAAGAGAATCCTGGGAAGAGTTAGAGAGGCTATTGAATTTCCTGGAATTTGGCATGCATACCAGCATGTTGCAGCGGACTGAATCAGCTTTCAGATGGATTTTATAGTCTAAATGTGTACAACTTAACAGTAAGGGTCAAATTTTGCGCTTGTGAATGTGTTTCTTTTGCACAGTTCCTCATGATCTCAATGTTTGACATGATGGTTGCTGTGTGGGACAGAATCTCCAGAACCACCAGTTTAGTCCCAAGTCCCATTATCCCAAAGAGTCATCAAGAAACCTTAGCTCTTCGGTCGGTTCTTGAAGGCGCCTTGTGGAGGCGACATTCGACCAAAAAAGACATAAGTTTAAATCAAGCTTTATCTGCTGAATCATCAAAAAAATGTGAGTCTAAGAAAACGATACACAGCTGTCTTCCCCAAAAGTATGCAAGAGTGATGTGAAGCTGTGAACTGCGTAACCGGTCAAATAACCCTCTGGGGGGAAATAAACCTACTTTGCTTCTGACGCTGGTTCAGAGGGTACCCAAAAAAAATGGAAAACGCCACGCAAGCACTCCCTAGAAGGAGTCCCAAGGAAACAGTTTACGGACTCCCAAGCATCCCAAGGAAAGGATCGAAAGAGTCCCAAGGAAATAATCCCAGGAATGCAGCATTGACATAGCTCTCCCAGGAAATGCAGCGGCAATGAACACAAGGTCCAGAGATCAGAGTATGCAAGGTGAATGCAAGGAAATGAAGGGGATTTGATGTTTCTTAATGATACCAAGTGGAAATGACCAATGTCTGATGATGGCAGGGAGGATGCTGAATGAATTCGGCCGCCGACCATGGGGAAAACACCTTGCATAAAAATTGTCGGATATTTTGTTCTATTTCCTCCTTTGTTTGGCACAGATCCAGCAAACTTTTGACCTTCTGCCATTGTGTCATAAGTTCTTGGTGTATGAATTGTTTAATCATGTCTGTCATTTCCTGCCCGGCTAT